ACGGCGACGACGGCGACGACAGACGCAGATGATGGCTATATGTACAGACACATCTGTGTCTGTACATAAAAATATTAAAAACATGTTTTGTAATTTTCATCATCACCTGTGAAATTTATCTCCATTATGCTCACACTGAGGGACTCAAAAAATTAGTCACTTAAAAACAAATGAAAAATGGTTTATAGAGAACACAATTTTGTCAACAATACGTAGTAATTTGGGGAAAAGATCTGAAATTTCCGTTTTTTTTTTGTTTTTTTTCATATATGTATAACAAATACTGTACACCTTAAGCCTATTCATAAAAACAAAGTGATTTTTGTTTTATTTTCCTTGAAATATAAGCCATGTAATCTTGTTAATTGACCCACCGCATTCAGCATGGCACACACATCTAAACAACAGGCAAACTTCATGAACACCCAGACCAAAGTTTGTATATACCAGCTTCCTCTCTGAGGGTCCCGATAGGCCACATAACCTAATATCAAATATCAAATATTATATGGTATAAAATACTACCGTTCAATGAACTGTATATGTAGGTTTCAATTATCATTGTTTGATTAAACAGTGAAAACTCAGATTATGACCGTTTACCATGTCAGAAGTTGTGATATGATAAGCACACAAAACTGATGAATCTTAAAGGGATAATAACTGTTTGTTTTGGCCAAAAAATGAATTTTTTCCTGGGGTAAACAACATTTTTTCCATACTTACCAATGGTTAACAAATCCATTTCTTCACTCAAAGTTAGTCCCTGTCTTTTTTTTCTTAAAAGATTGGTTTTATGTTAGATATAATCTCTTAAGAGAGATCTCTTCATATGGGATCTATATTTCACAATAAAAAACATTGTGAACAACTCATCAAAATATAATATATTCTATTTTACCACATAAATGGCAGTTATAGTTATTATTCTGATATCTGAGCTTGTCACTGGACCACATGACCTCCACAAATGGCTAAACTCTGTAATAATCAAAAAATTTTTGAAAAAACCAGGGACTAACTTTGGATGTAGAAATGGACTTATTAACCGTTGGTAAGTATGGGAAAATTGTTGTTTACTCCAGGAAAATTCATTTTTTGGCCAAAACAAATGGTTATTATCCCTTAAAGTAGGAAACATCTGACTCACCAGGCTCAGTAGGGTAGCCTATTAACATGTCCGTTCTAGTTGGAATGGTGGGGACAAGATCACTATCAGCCTGGACCCCAGAATCTTCCCTTCCTGAAAATATATAAATTGTTGCTGATAATTTGCGTACAGCTGAAAAAGAGGAAAATAATTTACATCTGTGAGCATGTTATCAATTTTAAAAAAATTATAAGCACCCATAATTCTAAGCTATATAGCATTTATTTAATTTGTAAATGATGTTTCAGATATGGGATAACTGTCTGTCCACCAAGTTCTTACTGTTTGAAATGCCAGAAGACTTACAACATTTTTTATATAGCAGGTCCTCTGAAACAACATAATAACATAATAACAAATTACATGTAAACATAAGCCAGTGGAAATAAAATACTTAGTTCAGATAAGCACAGAATTGGGAGGACCTGCAGATTTCTTGTAGTATCTCAAAAGTGTTGCCCAGTTTTGTCTGATGTTTAGCAGTAATGCTGTATAATGTCACTGTCACCTCTCTAATAAACCTTTTTATATCCAATTGCTACACAAGTTCCCTTTTTTCAATGGACCTGTTGATCATTTTTTTATCAGTTGTACAAAGATACAAAATGTAACCAAATATTGCTGATTGTGTGTGTGTATATATGGATCTAGTAATCAATTACTGATTCACAAGGGACTTTTTCTGCCCAAAAAGTTGCTTTGTTCAAACCCAACTCCTCTCCCCCAACCTCACCCCCTTGGCCATTTGGCATTTGAAACAAGTGAAAAGTGATATCCATTGTGATTACCCCCAGTGAACCCCCAAGCCCCTCCCCCTTCCCTTCTCCTTCCACACCCACTCACTTACCTCCTCTACAAAACTGAAGAAAGAAGAGCTTTGGTGTCCCCTTCAAAGCAGGGCAGTTCTCGTTGTTAAATATATCAACCACTGTATCCATAGAGACTGTTTCACCATCTGTGCCATAAAATGCATCCTGTCCAGCGCCATGACTGAGAATACAAACCACACTGCAGTTCACATCCTTCTGTTTCTCACTCCCAGCAAAATTCTTCAACTTTTCAATAATTGCCTGAAAGAAAAGAAAGCAGAGCAGTGAAGCAGACTTTTTTTTTTGCAGTTGTCAGAGTTTCGATGATAACAGTCCATATACTGCTACAGGTACTTGCCAGTATTACACGACACTATGTTTTACTCCTTTCCATTATTTAAAACACTGGACAGCAAAGATGTCATATGAAGAGAAACATCCCAGTGAAATCAGAGAAAAAATAAAACCTAAACATGTCATGATCCTACATAAGATACTAATGACAAATCACATGTAAAAGGTATCATCATAATCTCTCCCATATCTATCCTATGGAAAAAAATAAATTATTTCATACATTTTAAAACAACTCACCTGGGCAGTCAGTCCAGTGAAATCATCAAACACTGTTACACCAAAGCAAAGCTGCTTGAACAGGGTCTCCAGTTTGGCAGCATCTACGTCTGTCCCATGTCTGGGGGGCAACACTTTTGTCTTGCCTTTTTTCTGGATGGTAATTGACTGCACATTGATTATGCAAGCACTTCCTTTGGGATGGTTGCTCATACGATATGCCTTTATATGTAAAAAAATATAATAATAATAATAATAATAATAATAATAATAATGAAGAAAAAGCAATGTGCAACAAGTATGACACCTTTAAATTATCTTTAAGGATAATGGGTATTATAATGTGAATTTTAATATATTTAAATCAACAGATAAAAAACCATTAAAATGATCACCATATTAAGGTGCAATAAATCCTCTCACTCTAGACTTTGATCAGATATTGAAATTAATAATTGGTATTCATTAAAGTTAATCTTTTTAATTCTGTTATGTACACTAAATTTGAAAATAAATTCACAAAATCAAAACAAGATAAATATCTTACCAATATAGTGAAACATTTTTGTGTCCATACAAGGTATAAAAAACTTTAAAAGAGAAACAAATAATAAAAATAATTTTTAAAAAGTTTTCACAAGCTTTCATAATTCAAACTGTAGATCACCTGATCTTTATTATCCTTGTAAAACTGCACTGTGGATTTCATGACACTGACACTGTAATTGTCTGGCACTTTAACCTGGCCTAACTGAGACAGTGGGATTTCACCTGTTGGATTCAATAAGAAACAGTTATAAATGAGAGATGCCTAACTGAAAAAGTGGGATTTCACCTGTTGGATTCAATAAGAAACAGTTATAAATGAGAGATGCCTAACTGAAAAAGTGGGATTTCACCTGTTGGATTCAATAAGAAACAGTTATAAATGAGAGTTGCCTAACTGAGACAGTGGGATTTCACCTGTTGGATTCAATAAGAAACAGTTATAAATGAGAGTTGCCTAACTGAGACAGTGGGATTTCACCTGTTGGATTCAATAAGAAACAGTTATAAATGAGAGTTGCCTAACTGAGACAGTGGGATTTCACCTGTTGGATTCAATAAGAAACAGTTATAAATGAGAGTTGCCTAACTGAGACAGTGGGATTTCACCTGTTGGATTCAATAAGAAACAGTTATAAATGAGAGTTGCCTAACTGAGACAGTGGGATTTCACCTGTTGGATTCAATAAGAAACAGTTATAAATGAGAGTTGCCTAACTGAGACAGTGGGATTTCACCTGTTGGATTCAATAAGAAACAGTTATAAATGAGAGTTGCCTAACTGAGACAGTGGGATTTCACCTGTTGGATTCAATAAGAAACAGTTATAAATGAGAGTTGCCTAACTGAGACAGTGGGATTTCACCTGTTGGATTCAATAAGAAACAGTTATAAATGAGAGTTGCCTAACTGAGACAGTGGGATTTCACCTGTTGGATTCAATAAGAAACAGTTATAAATGAGAGTTGCCTAACTGAGACAGTGGGATTTCACCTGTTGGATTCAATAAGAAACAGTTATAAATGAGAGTTGCCTAACTGAGACAGTGGGATTTCACCTGTTGGATTCAATAAGAAACAGTTATAAATGAGAGTTGCCTAACTGAGACAGTGGGATTTCACCTGTTGGATTCAATAAGAAACAGTTATAAATGAGAGTTGCCTAACTGAGACAGTGGGATTTCACCTGTTGGATTCAATAAGAAACAGTTATAAATGAGAGTTGCCTAACTGAGACAGTGGGATTTCACCTGTTGGATTCAATAAGAAACAGTTATAAATGAGAGTTGCCTAACTGAGACAGTGGGATTTCACCTGTTGGATTCAATAAGAAACAGTTATAAATGAGAGTTGCCTAACTGAGACAGTGGGATTTCACCTGTTGGATTCAATAAGAAACAGTTATAAATGAGAGTTGCCTAACTGAGACAGTGGGATTTCACCTGTTGGATTCAATAAGAAACAGTTATAAATGAGAGTTGCCTAACTGAGACAGTGGGATTTCACCTGTTGGATTCAATAAGAAACAGTTATAAATGAGAGTTGCCTAACTGAGACAGTGGGATTTCACCTGTTGGATTCAATAAGAAACAGTTATAAATGAGAGTTGCCTAACTGAGACAGTGGGATTTCACCTGTTGGAATCAACAAGAACCAGTTATAAATGAGAGATGACTAACTGAGACAGTGGGATTTCACCTGTTGGAATTAACAAGGACCAGTTATAAATGAGAGATGCCTAACTGAGACAGTGGGATTTCACCTGTTGGAATTAACGAGGACCAGTTATAAATGAGGGATGACTCCAAGAGTGCAGATCTTCACCAAGGAAAAGGGAATTTAAAAATCTTTTAAATGTATTGATAGACCCAAAATCAGTTGAAATTGCATTCACTTCTTTTCCTCCTTAATGACTATCTGTCCTGAAGAGTTTTTAAAATGGAATGAACTTTTTTAGATATCTTGTTCACTTGAAAACAGAATAAGCAATTCTGATGAAAACAAAACCTCCCAAATTGGAGGAAGTAATAAAATGTATATATCTAAATGACTGTGTCACATTTTTTTATTAGTTTTAATTCTTAAAAGGACCAAAAATAGTGTTTTACATAAAACTAAAACATTTTCACTACACATAAATTAATTACCTACTGAATAAAATAAAAGTAGTGAAAATGTCATTTCAATTCTTATCATTTGGTGTATGTTTAAAAGTTTTGACTTAAAAACAACAGAATAATTACAATGTTGTTTATTTACTGAGATCTATGTTAGCAATAATTCTTCAATCTTTCAAAGATACTTACAGGTCATAAAGTCAGTGATCCTTAAAAGTTAATTTTTCACTAACATTAGACAAAAACAATAAACCATACTTCTCAAAATCAATGTTTTGTTTCTTATTCATTCAGCTTACCATGTGGCTTGACATCTTTTTCATGTTTGAGACACTTGAAAGATCCTCCTTCTCTCTGCTTAATACAGCTGGCACACAAGAAGCTGCAACCACACTCCATTGGCTCTGCAGCTAGAGTGACAAAAATGAAACAAGTCTATAATTATTATTATTTTCTTTAAAAATCAATTACAGCATTATTCTCATTATCATTAAGGTACCTCTCAGGACAGAATGCTAACTTAAAGATAGAATGCTCAGTGTTAAATGACATCATGTCTTACATCAAGAGCACCGTGGCATACCTGTGTTGTGAACAAGGCAGTAGACACACTTTTCTGTCTTGAAGCTGTCGCCTGCTTCCAGGCCTGCATACAAAGCTCCTCCCACATGTTGCTAAATAGTGATGCATAAAATTATTAAAGGCAGACATATTACCATTAGACCATGTACAGCCAATGACAATTATTTAGATTCTCTGCTAAACTTCACCAACTTTTAGCTTTATGACCAAGGTATGTGATTATCAAATACCCTTGATAAAATTACAATCAATAAATTTGTTTACAAGTACTATAATTTTTAATTTTTATTGTCACTTGTAAAATTCATCAGTCTTTATTGCAAAAAAAGAATTTAGCTTTGAAAAATTTGTTTAGTTCAGGAAGTAAATCCCTTTATTGTAATACATTCATTTTTTTAACAAATAGAATTTCTCTATAGTTTTATTAAAATGTACATAACAAAAACGAAAACAAAAGAGCTAACCTTAAACAAATCCTGTAGTTCAGAAAGTAAATCCTTTGGTTTTATTCGTTTGGGAAATTGTTCTTTACACTTGCTTATCAACTGTGTATACTTTTTGGCTACTTCTTCAGGCCAAGACTGTAAATTGTATACATTTAATATACTGTGTATCAATATAATATTTATAGCATGTCAATAAAATATATACAATTGATACAATATATACAACGTGCCAATATAATATAATATGATATAATATAATATTATATATATATTTATATATATATATATATATATATATATATATATGCTACACCAACAAGTCAACTAAATAATTAACTGCCAAAGGATATCAGATATCTTGGGCACCCTGCACACGGTGAGCAATTGGCGCGCGCCACTTGCGCTGCGCCGTTATCTCATCGTTTGCGGGGGTATTTTGGTGAGATTTTTGCCTCTCGCATGGCTGAGCAAAATATCTCACGTGTTTGATATTTTTGGTCTCTTGGGGCAAATGTCTCAGCGTGTGCGGGGTGCAAGAGCCGATTGCTCAAGTCATGCCAATAATGCGCATGTGCCGGTAGCCGGAAACAAACAAACATGGCAGCCCCCAGCGAAGTCAACAAAATTGTACACAGTTATAGTTAGTCTGATTGATTAACGTGACCATTTTCCATTACTATCAGAAAAAAAATCAATATGTAATGTTTCCTTAATCACATGATCCCAAAGTTCACAGTGCGTCCGATAGGCGCAGGCCAGGAGGCACCTCTGCTGCGCTCTTTCTGGGAGCTGAGGAGCACGAGCATCTGGCGCAGCGCAAGTGGCGCGCAAGTTGCTCACCATGTGTGGGGTGCTTAAAGAAACTTATTCTTATAATTGGAATTACCAAATTTAATTAAGAGCACGTCCCTATGCCACCCCCACACCCCCATTGCACACTACCTGGGTCCTTCAAACAACCCTTAATTGATTCCATTGATCCCCAAGCAAAATCCTGGATTCCTGAGAGACCTTGTAATCTTACCACTGCATTAACGCCAAACATCCACAAGGAGTCCATACTTCCCCCTTCTTCCATGGGAATGAAATGTCCCTCCTCGTACCATTCATCATGAACAAAGGCGCCATCTTTTTTGTCAATGGCCGTCACATTGGTAAGCAGTTCCAAGTACACTGAAATGTGAGACGTAAAATATTTTTGACATGCACCGAGTCTTCACGAGATAAAAGTCAGATTACTTCATGTAGAGTTTCAGAGTGGGTTTAACACCTCCTGGGCATGTACCACCAACTGGCACATCAGAGGACTAAGAACACCAGAAAGAGAGCTCAATTCTTGAACTTACCAACACCCAGACTGAAACAGTCAGTCTTATTTTTCGCTTTCCCAGTTTTCATGTACTGGGGACAGGCATAACCTGGGGTGTGACCTGTTCCTAGAGAATAAAGGAAAATGAAAAAATTATTACCCCCTGGAAAGAGAATTCCTTTGAAATAAGTGTAACTTGTAATTTGAGGCCACTGTCAGAGAGCAAGCAACATTCTTTAAGTTATTTATTTTATCTTATTTTTCATAAGTTGCTTTTCTCAAAATTTTGCTGTGACCCAATATCCCTAACAGTACAAAAATGTATAATATACATTATAACATAAATCATGGTTCTGCCAGCTTTAATAAAATTAATTTCCAGGAGTTTTCCAGGAGTTTTCAAGGACATAATTTTTTTTTCCAGGAGTATGTTACACTGGACAATTATTATTTGTAAACCATCCAATATGAATATGTAAAAATATAACCAAGAATATTTGGCACAGCTAGAATTTATTAGTCTTATGAATCAATATATCATGCATTAAAGAGTCTAAATGTTCATGATGTATATTGCACTGTTGAAAAATAACAGTTTAATCTGTTATGAAAATGTAGTTAAACAGTCTGTTTTGCTTCTTGAATTGCTGAACTAAGTTTATAATTTTTCCACTGAAGAAGCCAAGGCTTTTTCAATATCAGTAATTTCTTTCTTTTTCTCCTCAGCTGTCTTGCGAAGGGAGTTTGCTTGGGTAACAAAGGAAATTTTCCTAGTTTTCTCAGCTTTTAAGAACAGACTGTCTGCAGCCTTGGTTAAATTGTCAATATCTTCCTGGATTCTTTTTTTCTTCTTTTTCAAATCATCAATCTCATCCAAGATGCACTTTCTCTTTTTCTGTAATTCTTCACTGTTTTTCTTCTCCCTTTCTGTTTGAAGAAACAGTT